AGCAGCGGCTCGCGCGCCGCCGCCAGCACCGCCGCGCTGCGCCGGCACAGAGTGTCGCGGTTCTTGTGCACGATGCCGCGCGCGCTGTACACCACGGGCCCGCCGAAGTGCACCACCCTGCGCCGGGGCACAACGCGATACGCAACACTATACGACCGCACTTGTCATTGTTTTGTCATGACATGTCGTGGCCGTCTCGGATTTAGAATGACCTTCGTTAAGCCGAGACTGATCGGCCACAGTTAACGATTTCCTATAATGAGTTAAAGTTTGGAATTAAGTAAGAAATGTTAAAGAAAGGAATTGAAACACTTACTGGAAGCGGTCGGGCGGCAGCACCAGCAGGCGCGGGTGACGGCGGCGCTGCAGCCGCTGCAGGAAGCAGCCGTCGCTCAGGCCGCGCGCGCTGCACTCGCGCAGCACGCCCAGCACGCTCTCCGGGCCCTGCGCACCACCGCCTCCGTGTCAGCGCGCATCCGGCGCCCCGCTAGCCCCCGCGAGCGCGGCCGGCGCGCACTCACCGCATCCAGCAGCTCGGCGTTCGACTCCAGCTCGGCGCACGCCAGCGGCGTCCAGGGCAGCCCCTCGCGTACGTACTCCTCCTGCTCGCGCCGCAGGGCCGCCGCGCCCACCGCCGCCTGCACGCGCTCCGCCGCGTAGTTGATGAGCAGCCGCTCCAGCCCGTTGTGCGCCAGCGTCTCCAGCCCGTACACGTCGAGGATGCTCAGCGAACTGCGTGCGCCCGCCGCGCAAGGCTGCACATTCGCTGCGTTCACGCGACCTCGCCCGGCGGGCCGGCGGGCCGGCGGGTCGGCGCGCCGCGAGGGGCCCTACGGTCGCACCTTTATGGCCTCGTTGACGGCGGTCACGAGCCAGGTGAAGAGACGCGCGTACACCGCGCACAGCAGGCGGTCGCGCAGCGCGCACGCCCACCCCGCGCCGCCCTCCGCCGCCGCCTCCGCCCGCTCGTCCCCCGCCGCGCCAGTCGCGCCCCCGGCGCCGCCCTCCGCGCTCGCCTCCTCCCACTCGCCGCCGCTCTCCGTCTCGGCTTCGCAACAATACGGCTAGGTTACAAACGCGAGGGGAGCGAGGAGGACGACCAGGGCGAGTGCGGGGAGCTGCGTACCGGGCTCGGCGCCCAGCGCGCCCGCCAGCGCCTCCGCCTCCACGCCCACCAGGGCGCACGCCTCGCGCAGCTCTGCACACACGGACAGACCATTGCCGTTATCATCGGTCGACACACTTTACGACGTCACGCGCTCGCCGCCGAGGCTTCCTCGTTCTACAGTTCCTATACCATACCTGCGCTTGGGAGTAGATCTACTGCGACAGAATTCGAATGCGATAAAAATATCGGACTTAAAATTTATATTTAGATGAAACTGGGACGAAAAAAAGTTTAAGGTGTAACACAGACCAATAAGGCTGTAAATAAATTTTGAATAGCAATCAATGTAGGAGCCGGACGCGCAACCGATCGCAAGGAGTGCGGACTGACCGTACTCGCGCTGCAGCCGCGTGCCGATGGAGCCGTCGATGTTGTGCTGCGGCTCGAACTGCACGTTGCCCAGTTTCAGCAGGAACGCCAGCACGCGCAGCACGCCGCCGCACTGCGCCGCGCCCAGCCCCAGCGTGCCCATCGCCGCCTGCGCCCGCCGCACATTTACATTCATCATTTCGCATAAATGTCATTATAAGGTCATCTTTCTCGAGAGCGAAAACGCGCCTCGCACCGCATTCACCTCTACAATGTATGTTTATTTTTCACAGGAAGCATACTTGCACATCTATAATCATTTTTTTTCCAGAGGCAAATGCTTTGTACACACTTGGCGCCTCAGTGGACATCTATAGCTCCTAGGAATTATAAATATGGGAAATGTAATAGAGGGAATATATCGCAGTCGCGGATGTGTATGTCGTATAACCTTAGTGAAGGCGAAGTGGTCGCGGTCCGCGGCAGCGGGCGTGGCGGGCGCGGCGGCGGGCGGCGGCGTGGGCGGCGCGCGCCGCGGCGACGCGGGCCCCGCCCCCGACCCCGCCCCCCGCAGCACGCGGTACTGCTCCCACGACCGCTGCAGGCGCAGCCGCTCTGTGCACGCGACCGACACGAGGTAAACAGACCGCAGTTGAGTCTAAATGGCCTGGATTAGCACCAACATTGAGGGACACTCACTGAGCAGCTGCGCGTCGCCGCCGGCCAGCAGCTGGTACAGCACGTGGAAGTTGCGCTCGCCCTCCAGCGGACCGCACGCGCGCTCCTGCACACGCGCCCTCACACTACACTTCATGCGCCGTGCTTGTAGCGGCGACGCTCCGATATTTTGGATACTTAGAAGCTAGTTATCGATTATATTTTCATTGATAATGATACTATGCTACTTTGTGAAACATAAAAATATACCGAGTCAATAATAACGTCATTTTTTTATAAGATTAGGAGACAAACGAGCAGCGGGAACACCGAGGTGTTCGTCGACGCCCATGGACATCTGCAAGAACAGAGGAACCGGAGATGCGTTGCCGACCTTTGAGATACAATTTGCTGCACTTGCATTCTAGTGCTTGTAAATAATAGTATTATTTATCTATCTCTCCTGGTTAATTTAAAAAGCAATATCCATACTATATCATTAATAATGCTTTTGTCTTCTTCGAGTTCTTAACCAGCTGAACACAATTTCATGAAACTTTGTTGGGATTATCTGTATCACTAATATAAGCTATTAAAACCTAATCCGAAGCACAAGGGCGATGCAAAAATTATCCAATATAACATTTGCAAAATTGACTTTTGATTTGACAAAACTTGTATAAACAGTCATCTATCCTTACAAATGCGAAAGTAACTCTGTCCGTTTGCCTTTCTTTCTATTGCGCTTTCACGCCAAAACTACTGAACCGATTAAAATGAAATTTGGTACAAAGATAGTGTAGAGCCTAACTATAGACAAATATTATTGTTGTACACGACGCGCACACACAACAAGCTGATGTGTGTGTACGTGTGTGCGGTTACCTTCTCCAGCAGGTCTGCGTGTAAGGGACAAAGGACATCATTAGTAGCAGCTTCAAACTGTAAAGTACATGAAACATGGGCGTACTCACAGTGCGTTATGTGCCCCCCCACCGGCTCCCCCTTGAAGTCCAGCTCTATGTCCAACAGTTTGCCCTGCAACACCGCGGTACATGCATATGCTTCCTGCCTTCACTGGAAGTACTACTTTAGCCCAATTCAATTAATTATTTTATTCAATTAACGGGCTATTTTAATATTCTACATTTTATTTAGTTTCGCAATTTAACATTGTCATTAATAAAGGCATTGCTGTGGTTACTGACGAATCTGCTGGCATTGTGGTTGCGGGAGGTGGCGGCGTTGCCGAAGGCCTCCAGCAGCGTGCCGGCGGCGGCCAGCGCGGCGCCCGCCCCGCCCGCGCCCGCGCCGCCCGCCACCACCGCGCACTGCAGGCACACGCGCGCAGCCTCCGTCTTGCCCGCGCCGCTCTCGCCTGCGCGCCCCACACATTACACCTTGCATACCTACCCCTGCTACATATTGCCTGACTCGTCGTCCGCGGAAAGTTAAAGACACCGTGTCGATTAGGTCGGCGACGGTCTAGTTGTTGCGTAATCGTGTTAAAAAAATTAAAAATATATATTGTATAGCTATATTTCACAGGAAGCGTACATGTTCGCGAGAAACCAACAGACCTAATGTCATTGATCATTAAGTCTCGTTCATTCGATCGATCACGATCCACGAGCCGCGATGTGATCGACCGACCACTAGAAGTCCAGATCCGCGCGATTGGGTGTATTTTTACTTTATAGTAATGTCTCACGAAACTTTCAATCGGTTAACATACAAACATCCATTATTAAAGTTTGTTCATTTCCGTTACGTTCACTAACATCAGTGCAGAGTTTAAATACAGGTTGTAGAGAAGAACGATATCGTAAGGAGGTATTGGTTGATTGGATGAGATTGAGGAAATAATCTATTTCTGAAGAAAGTCGCCACTACCTGTTATAACAATGCACTGGTTTTCATTTCTGTCCCGCACCCATCTATACGCCGTCAAGGTTATCGCGTATCTGCAACAAACGAGGCTGAATATATACAGCTGTCTACAGGACGAAGGAGGTCCCCAGGAGGGGAGGAGCGGCACTCACAGATGCGGCGGCAGCAGGTAGGGTGGGCGCGTGAGGTACGTGCGCACCAGGTCGGCGGAGTACAGCGGCAGTGCTCGGCACGGGTTCACCGACACCAGCGCATTGCCCACGTACGTCTGCAAGAACACAACGGGCGCCGTGAGCCACCGTGAGCCGCCGCTGACCACTCGCCCACTCAGCCAACACTCACGTAGATAATATCGCGCTTGTAACGCACGTGCAGATTGTGCACGAACGAGTCCTCGGTGAGCGGCGCCAGCAGCACGGCGTCGCCGAGGCCGGCCGGCTCGGGCTCCGCCATGCTGCGCCCGCGCCGCGCCCCGCGCCGCCCTCACCGCCTCGCGCGCCGCATGCCACCGCCCGCGCCCGCGCCGCAACACCGCCCAGCCACTGACACACACCTCCACACACTCTTCTATTATTGCTTGCATTATATTATCGTACCATTGTCAAGGAATGGACAAGCCACTTTACAAAACTCCATTTTTAATAATATTCACCACCAAACCTATTCTGTACTTTCTAATAATGAAGAAAGTACATTAAGTAAATGAAGCATGTTGTTGTTCACATCAAACACATCATATTTAAATTAGGTTAATATGTTTTTAAGTTGTCATTAGTTTGATCAGAAAATTCTGTGCAATTGTCAGAGCAGACTTTCAGTAGCACTATGTTGAAAGAAGTAAATATTTGTTGAATACAGTCTCCGTCTCCGCTTCCTCAGTCTGCTTTAATTTTAATTGTGTCAACAACAAATTGTAATGTGTATGTAAACATGTTAGTGCTCCAACATTGTCCACACTTGCAGTCTTGTTGATGTTTGTTTGTTTGTTCACAACACTCAACACTGATTGATGATGAGGATAGTGCATATGGTTTTGTTTACAGTGGCCCCTCTTCATGATCTCTCTCGAGCAGCACAGCACAAGTGCAAAGACAAGTACAATACATGACAATTTACTATGCTCTTATCCAGCCACTAAATTAATTTATAAAAGAGTATTACATTGAATTTGTCACAACCCAACATATAACAAATTCTCACTTATATTATACCATAAAGACCTATTACTTCACATTAAAGCATAGTTTTAGAAAGAAATAAAGTGGGCTGAGCAAACCGCATAATCATATCTTATTTTGGTAACTAGATACAGTGAATTTTTTAACCAGATATTAAGAATCCCTCGCAGGTTCACAAACAATGATTTAGATCCCATGTGCGACATTGGAATCCCATCATTATTACAAATGGCACATGAAGTTTTTTAGATACATAGATATTATCATTACTTATTAATAAATTTTGATATTATGTATCTTTTTCATATAGTAATCTATGTTTTTTGAGAATGCATTTTTAAAGTATTTTTAGAAATTATTAAACGGTTTTACTTAAATGTTAAACTTATCGTTAAAGTACCGTTTAGTTATAAATGTATAATTCGATGGTAGATATGTCTAAGAGTTTATAATTCTGTTATTACAAGCTAGCATGAAATTATCTTCTCTCTGTGTTAAACACCAAAGATCTCCTTTATACCACTATAGCAACATATTTTGTTTCCTCTAAATAAAGAACCAAGTACCATTTATAATTCAAAATATTAATATAACATCGAATATAAAAATTTTAAGATAAAACTTACTCACCTTTGCATAAATTCTAAAGAATTTTGTCTAATTAAGCAACTCTAAAGTTATGGTCATGACTCCAATAACTTAAATATTAAAAAATTTGCAAAATGTGAGACATAATGTGTATGCATTAGAGTTACAGACACATTTCTCTTTTTCGATTTCTTTGGATGACAGAACCTGACCTGACAGATAAGTCACAAAATGACAGCAGAGCCATAGACTAAAAAGGGTAAAGACATTGTAAATAGGTAGGTGGGTCAAAGAGTAAATAAAATATGAGGTAGGTATTGACAAAGTTATCTAATCCGGTTGCCATAAGTAAAACTAAATTGTTATAGCTCACTAGCTCCCCCTTTCAAAAAATATCACAAGGTCATTGTCGTTCTATATTTTATATGCTGTTTGTGCTGTATTGTGCGAAAAGACTAGCTCAGATTGAGACTATATTACTGTATTATGGAAAGTGTATTTTTTATACTCTTTGGTGTATAGTCAAAAAATGTATATAACTGTAGTGTGTCTATCTTATCTTCTATATATATAAAAGAAAGTCGTGTAGATACACTATTTATAACTCAAGAACGGCTTTACCGATATGGGGAGTGTTCCGAAGAACTGTTTGGAACGATTCCTGCCGCCGAGTTCCGAAATCGGACGACACGACAGACCGCCAGGTTCCATCCACATCACCTGGATGGCTGGCGTTCCACAACGGTGCGATTTCTTGCCTCGCACAGTCGCGTTTTGGAACGGTCTGTCCCCGGCGGTATTTCCAAACCAATACGATTTAGGGACCTTCAAGAAACGAGCATACCATTTCCTTAAAGGCCGGCAACGCATCTCCAGTTCCCCTGGTGTTGCAGATGTCCATGGGTGTCGTTGATCACCTCGGTGTTCCCGCTGCTCGCTTGCCCCCTTCTCTTATCTTCTTCTTCTTGGGGTGCCTCTCCGACTAGCGAAGGTTGGCGATTAGTTCTCTTATAAAAAAAAAATGGCTGAAAATTGGTGAGGAGGTAGCTTAGAACCAGGAGACGAACATAGGACACTATTTATTCATTTTTTTAATTTGCTTTTTTATTTAACTATCTATATATTAAGTTTTTATATAACCCCGCGGACGGAGAAGCGGGCGACAACTAGTTTAAGATAGATTAGTTTGGCAACTGGCCTATAGAATATCGAATTAATTTTGTATGAAGATTAATGTTGTACTTCATAGACGGTAGACATAGTGTCGGACCGTATGCACTTTACGAACAACTATGAACTATGGAGAATCAGTTTTATAATCAAATTTACCGAACAAATAAATACTATAACTTAGATATTTTCTTACGTTTTGAATTTTTTTACAGATGTTTAGCTTGTTAAAGGCTTTAGTTGATTAATGGCAGTCGTCAAACATATCCTGTCAACATTTAATATGTATTAATTAAGAATTCATTGTTTTTCTAGGAAATTATGTGTTTTTGGTTGATATTACGACTGAAAAATCAAAAGGTATCAAGTGAAACACGTGAATTTTGCACAGAGCCAGAAAATTACCTAAGAGGGTTTTTTTTCAGTAAATTGCATCTATGTGAGGTTCAGTAACCATTTATTTGCAATATATTTAGCAATAGTAATATTTGAGCAGCCATTATAGTAGTGTAAATTGTTTTTGTAATATTAAATTCTAACATTTTATTTTGTAGTAATGATATACCTTCAAAATATAAACCATCGATAATTTTTGTTTGACATGTACATATAATGTGAAACTGTAATGCAATCGATTGCGCGTCGTAGTCGTAAATGTCTTAATACCATTTAAAATGTTTTGCAGATCATATAAGACGCTGTTAATCTGTGTAACCATATCTGCTTTAATGTTATGAATTGTCATTCTCTGTATATATCCTCAACGAATGGCTTAGGAAAAGAAAAGTAAAGAGTGTCTGAATTATTGCGTAATAAAACGAAAGTTTCGAGCGTAATGTTATTTATGGGTTAATAAACTTATAATGACAAGCTATGTTTGTTTTTACATAGGCACTTTTAGATTCAATGTTAGTAATAATTTTAAAAAAGTAATAGGGCCAACCTACAGCTCTAATTTTTATCGATATCGATAAATCGACCCTAAGCGTCCTGCACTATTAGGCCCTCAAGGTTAGTGTCCATGTTTTTGTAGAGTGTCACAAAATTGAAATAAAACATTTATTTTCTGACAACTATTTGCTATGCAAATTGATGCAAATAGAGGAAATTGCAATATGTTCTAAGTCCCGACTCTTACTACGAAGTAGTTATATACTCTTTGGATTAATTAGTTTGACAACTGGCGTTACAGAAGTATCGAATTAATTTTGTATGAGGATTGAGGATCAATGTGGTATTTAAATACACACTATAGCAATATAGGTATTATATAATTTTTACCCGCATGTTCAGAATTCAGATCGCCTTGTCTGCTCTTGTCGGTTATTGGTCTATACTTTGAACTTTGACCGTTAAACTCAGTTAAACTGTTGATTTTTGCCAATATGTCCATCAGGTCAAATAATCGTGTCGGTGTATAAATAGCAACAGATCAAGGTTAAGTCATATGCACATACTTTTTATGTATAATTTTTTAATAAATGATTAGGTTTATAAGGTACGTTCTAGTTCGGTTCATTTTAAGGATATACGATTTACAATATGGATTTAGCAACAAATTTGAAACGAAAGAAACTAAAAACTCGAAAGTGTCTAAACAAATTAAGGAAAAGGTTATTTGGTGAATCCGATAAAGACATTTCAATAGACGGATATTCCGTGCTTAATAAAAATTACTCTGAGGAATACTTTAACACAAAACCTAATTCCATGACAATGAGCCATTTGACTTCAGCTTTTCTTAGTAAGGCTGTTCAATCCGAAACAATAACAAGACACACCCTACCATCTAAGCAGGAGAAATCTGGTACATCTAAAAACGTTAATGACGCAAGCACAATGATTTTTAACGAAAGTGAATCTAGTTTGTCCCAACCTTCTATTGCTTCTGATAATAGTTATAATGTGATAAACCCTTTAACTGAAGTTATAACTACAAGAGATAATGACTTTTTTTACAAATCCCTGTCGAGAAGTCCATCACTTTTTAGTTCACATAAATCTGATAGAACAATGGTAAGCTTTATTGAGGGATTGGAAACTGACTCTGTGGAAAACTTGCGTCAGTCAGTTACATCAGTAAAAAGTTTAAAAGTAAGTATCTATTTTGAGAGCAACAGACGGCAAACAACCTGGTGGCCCACTCGATTTATTACGATAGTGATAAGACATCTGCCTATAGACAACAATTTGCTACAAGTTCAAAGATTGCAGAACCTCCCTGTTTTCTATTAGAAAAGGACACACACAATCTTGAGACGAAGCATGAAATTATTTTCTCTTTACACCCATCTTCTGTGTGGTTATGGTAATGCACTGTGTGGAGCAGTCGGTTCATGCAGCAGCTAAATCTGATTTATGGTGACCAAAAACACTTATTAAATCTACATACTTGCATGATTACTGTGATAAACTGTATTAAAGGTATATTTAGTTTTACATTTAAAGAAAATGCTAGACTTTCCTCAGATATCCTCTTATTTAAACCTTTATCCTTCCTTAATGGAACCAAACATTACAATATAATTGCAGAATGACAGACAAGGTTTTGGAAACAGCCTTTTTGAAAAATTATCCCATGAAATAATAATTGAAGAAAATCCAACAACCTATATAAAACTGGGACATACTAAATATGTGGCTGCATCTAGTGGAGTACACTCATCTACTTCCACAAGTAGATCAAACTCACCACTGTGTAGAAGCAACTTCTCCCATGTGTCCGCTGCATGTGTAGATGACACTCCTGAATATATTTATTACCCACATAGACTGAACCAATGATACACAAGGTACCTTTCCTTCTTACCTGTTTTAATATGGATCTATGGGAACATAAAAAAAGGTATGTATGTAAATACTAAAACTTTACTGAGTGCAAGATCTATACTAAACTGATATTCTCTAGTTCTGTTACTAGGTCCATGTGTTTGAATGCATCTGGTTTCTTATTAAATGTCTCAAGCAAATGTTGCTTGGTTAAGTCCTTGCCACAAAAATACATCTGGAATTGGTTTGCCAAGCATTGTGCCTCCTGGCCATTCAACACATTCTGCAAAAGGATTTAAATTACATCATTAGTCCACTAAAAGTTGTATAATTTACTAAACATTGTCAAATATAAGAGGATTCTTTTTATAACTCATATAAATTATCAAATATATAAGTGAGGAATTGTCTGTAGTGTAGTTCATTCATAAAGCTAAATTCTACAACATTTGTGGAAAAAACATCTCTTTTGACAATTCTTCACCAAGTAAATGTTAAAGTGAATGATGTTCAAATTTGTATTTTCCTGTTTGCTTAACACATTCTGTGCAAATGGGTCTTATTAAATATTAATAAATTACCTTGTCATATTCTCCTCTCATCAAAACTATTCCTTTGTGGCCAAGTTCTGTGTAATGAATCATTGTTAAACATTCAGGAGCATTTTCTTTATGTACCTAAAAATAAAATGTTTTAGTAAAACACTGTTATTTGACACTTGTGACATTTTTAATTTGATTAGTATAGTATGGAAACCTACCTGAAAGGCAAGAAGTGGTGTAAAGTGCACAGTGTGACCATGACACTGGCACAAAATGAACTCATAGCCCTCAGATCGAGGCAAGGGAAATAAGAATGTAGGATAATCTTTCATCTTTTCATGAACAGTAGTATAAACATCAAGAGGAATTGTTGCTGATATTACTTCCTTATTCTTATGATATTCTTCCCAAATATTTTGAATATCTGAAGCATCTTTTCCTGTTACCAAATCTAATTTTAAAATGGCCTCAAGCTTTTTATCTTCAACTATCAAATCCTTGCTTAATGTTTCCTTAGGGTGTAAAACTGAGGAAAACTGTCTGAAATTTATGAAACGATTAATCAGAACGATAGATTATAGGAAAATTATCACTTATGAGGAAGAAGTAAACCTTTTTGTGTGATTACATAAGGCTTTTTCTTTTTTTTTATTTGGCATTTCCAAAGTGTGCTTAACAAACGACAAATAATACCTGGTATCAATTGCACCCAGCTTCTTTTCTTTTTCTTTCTGTTTGGTTTTCTGTTGGTCCTCTAATCTTTGTAAAAACTCGCGGGGAGAAGTTTTCTGAAGAGTAGCGATGCGATCAGCGTATTTTTCATAATAGGGATTCTTTTGCAATTGCTCCACAGCTTTTTCTAGCTTAGTTGGCGATGTCATTATATTTCGACAACTTAATCTATTTAGTACAATGTAACTATTCGAAAAATGCCGCAACTTAAAAGCCATAACCGTTTAGCTAATGAGCTGACAAAATGACATGTTAATTAATGACATTTAATTATGATCACAGTATTGTTACCTAACCCAGTACTATACCCGCACTTAAATACGAATAGGATATGATCTGACATAAGACAATTATTAATTATATAAGGTTGTCACATTTTTGTTAACATTGACAGAAAGGCGTAAAAATATGTCGCCTTGTGTGTAGGGTTAGTAGCATAGTGCAGTGTATTTAAGATCAATAAGTTTGACAACTGATGCCTATGAAGGATCGAATTAATTATGTATGAGTACTTATATCGTAATTAATGGACAGTTGTCATAGTTCTGACCATACGCGCCGTACGCCACCGTACGCCAACTGCGAAATATCGAGAGTCGATCTTGTAAAATATTAATCTAAGTAATAAGTGCTATAACTTACATATATTACTTTTTCAATTTATTACAATAATTTGGCTATATCTCGCACAATTAACTAAAAATGCATTAAAAACATTTCATTTTTTTTGTTAATATCTCAATTTTTAGTCAAATGTTTTATTTCTTTATGTAGTTCTGAAGAATACGCCCGCCGCCAGTTAACATTTTACTACAAGACCCAACATCTTATAAACCCATTTATAATTATATAAAAAATACAATTCAAAAAATTTAACCGACGAATCTTAAAGTGAAGTGTGTACAAAGTAATGAATATTTTATATACTCTTTGCTTTTTAAATAAGATTTTACCTAAAGTTCTATGTTACCAGGACATAAAATTAAAAAAAATCTTCAGATGTCATTGTCATTTCGTGCAAGGAGAATAAAAATATTAAACATAAACAGCTTAATAATAGTTAAAAAAGACTTGTTATATCTATTAATAGGATAACTAATTTATTTCAAAATGTCAATTGAAATCGAGTCTGCTGAGTAAGTTACGATTTGAAAATGTAACCTTTAATCATATTTTTATTTGGCGCCGGATTAAAGGAAAAAGTTATATTTTTTTTCAGTGTTATACGCTTAATACAACAATATCTGAAAGAGTCAAATCTTACTAAGACGCTTCAAACTCTTCAGGTCAGTAACCGTTTGGAAAAATTAATAAGTTATATTTATAAGGTCCAAAAGCAAATATAAAGTGAAAGAGCGTCCCTCTATAATATTTTCAGGAAGAAACTGGTGTATCTCTGAACACGGTAGACAGCGTGGACGGCTTCTGTGCAGACATTAACAATGGCCACTGGGACACTGTCCTCAAAGCAACAGCCTCTCTCAAGCTACCAGACAAGAAGCTGATGGAGCTTTACGAGCAGGTGGTGTTGGAGTTGATCGAGCTGCGTGAGCTGGGCGCCGCGCGCTCTATGTTGCGCCAAACGCAGCCCTGCCAGCTTATGAAACAGCTCCAGTCAGACCGCTACATGCATCTTGGTACTGTAACTGCAATATTCAATTCACCACTACTCACTAAATAAATGAATATCAATGCTTCATGGTTGCTTATGGATAGACTATAACAGAGATGACCCAACTGTCTCAGAACAAACATGTTATTGCTCTGTTTAAGATGGGTATTTAGAAGAGGTCAACTACCAAATCTGATTTGGATGGGTCACATTGAAAAAGTTCCAGGATGTATACTCTTATAATAAGAAATACCATAGTTTCTCAATGTAAAAATCTGATCAGTGTGTGTTGTCAGTGATGTGCTATGGAACCAAGATGGCCACTCACAGCAGAGGTAATATTAGGTGCTAGTCAGTCAAAGGGAAATGCTCGGCGGCTTTACAAGATTGTGTCAGAAATAGCTAGTGTGGTAAATTTAAGTGAGAAAAAGTGATCCATCAGAAATATTTTGGAATTTATGTGTTTAGGCATAAATTATAGGGTTATAACTAGGGTTTGGATTGGAAGTGTTGTGAGTGATGAGTGTTTGTTGTGATGCTTGCAGAGAACCTCCTGTCGCGGTCATACTTCGATCCACGCGAGGCGTACGTCTCGGGCGGCGGTAAAGAGCGGCGGCGCGCAGCTCTGGCGGCGGCACTGGCGGGCGAGGTGTCTGTCGTGCCCAGCTCGCGACTGCTGGCGCTGCTCGGCCAGGCGCTCAAGTGGCAGCAGCACCAGGGCCTGCTGCCGCCTGGTACCTACAGCTCCTTGTCTCTGTTTCACACACTTTCTGTGACACTTTGTCTCACAATGTATAATGCTCACTTATGACTAATAAATATTAAGAGAATAGATAATAGAAGATATGTCTTAATATTTAATTTCTCTCAAATCAAATTATACATACATGATGATGGCAAATTATTCAAGTTTAATATTTGTGATAATTGAAATTATTTTAGTTAAATTTGGTGCAATATTATAACAGTGGTAGAGCCCCCCGCTTTAACATCTTCATACAAACTAGTCCGGCTCGCTCAGTGAAATACCACGACCACACAGAGCACACACAGGCGTCAAGTGGAAGCTATTCCCTGTTTGGTCTGATGAGTGTGCGTCCCGGAGGCCTAATTTAGACCTTTTCCCCTTCCCACCCTTTGTCTTACAAGGAAAGGATGGGAAGTAGAAGTGGACTTTCTAGATGAGAGGATGGATGGGAAGGGAATATATGTATCCTCTCCTCCGTCGATTTAAGGTAGGCAACGCATATGCAATTGCAAATATCTATGGGCAACAGTCACATTGCTATTTCAGCAATTTCAGGTGGCCGCTCGCTCGTGGCAAACGAGTAAACCTTATGATATAAAAAGAAAAATTTATACGGACTTTGGATTTATGTAGTAACAAGACAGTGAGACGCATGTCAGCTGTTGAAAACTACCTTACAACTTGTCGGGTCTGATCTCGGGACACATCATATGATACCCGTCATGTTTCAGGAACGACGATCGACTTGTTCCGCGGCAAGGCGGCGATCAGGGACGAGGAGGATGACCAGTGTCCTACTCAACTCTCAAAAATGATCAAGTTTGGCCAAAAATCACACGTTGAGTGTGCCAGGTTATGATAGTTTTGTATTGCAGCCTACTCCGCTCAGATGCTATTCGAACATCTTACAACTTCTCTTCTTATTTTTGTTCTAGTTCCCACCCTTTTGTAATATGGAAAGAATGGGTGGGAAAAGTTAAACGCGCTTAAAGAGAAAAGATCATCCTTTTTAGTACACCCACACCTCTATCCTTTAAAAGTAGGCAACGCATTCGCTAAATACGAACTTGTAGAGGTGAATGGGCAGCGACTCCAACACGGGGGGCTGCTCATTTGTCACCTTGTACGGCAAGAAATATTGGGCGACTTTTGGTAGCGGAGTGGTGGGGCGTTGCAGGTTCTCTCCGGACGGGCAGTACTTGGTTACGGGCTCGGTGGACGGGCTGGTGGAGGTGTGGAACTTCACGACGGGTAAGCTGCGCAAGGACCTGCGCTACCAGGCGCACGACGACTACATGAGCATGGAGGAGGCCGTCCTCAGCCTCGCCTTCGGCCGCGACAGCGACACGCTCGCCGCCGGCTCCATCGACGGCAAGATCAAGGTGGGTAGTGTGGGGCGGGGGCGGGGGCGGGGG